TATGATCTTGGATACACTCTCCATTTAGACATACATAATTGTTTAGCTTGTTCACCCATCTATCAGTCCCTCTGGATATCATTTTGAAGTCTATTTTATCGAAGTTAATATCACCACTCCTGCTTTTATTTATCTATCTAGTATTTATTTATTCCTGATTGCATTAGCTTGATATTTTTTTCCATCCCTTGTTTTTTCATGTATTTTTATCTTGTGTCTAAGGTGCATCTCTGTAAGCAGCATATTGATGGTTCTTAGTTTCTTATCCAATCCATCTCTCTCTCTTGACTCATGCATTTAATCCATTCACATTTAGTGTTATTAATGATAGGTATGAATTGTCATTCTTTTGTGTTTTTGTTGTGGTGCTGACGGTTTCTTTGTTCCAAATATTTTTCTGTGCTGAATTCATTTTGTTATCAATTTTTCTTTCCCTTTTCTTCATTACTGTTGCTTTCATGTTTATTAAGTCCCTGTGACCTTCTCCTTTCTTATTTTGGTTAGAAGGTTTATTAATTATCTTTGTGAGACATAAGTAAATTCTTATGTCCCTAAGTTCAAAACATTCTGTTCTGTATTGACTTTGACTTGACTTTCTCTCCATATAGAAGTTTTGTAATTATGCCATTTACTCCCTCTATTTGGTCTATGGTTGGTATCATTTACAGATTTACTCCTCTAGTTCTCTGTTTTACATTTTGTAAGCCTATTTTAGGTTTGACAATTCTTTTCCTGGGTGATTTCTGAAGGGTATTGTCATAAGTCTTAATCTTAGTTTGCTGTCTTCCTAGGATTATAAAGATTAATTTTACGCTTTCTGGAATTTCATATTTGCAATGAATAAGTCATTGGTCTTACAGAATTCTACCATGTGATCTCTGGTATCATTTCTTTGACCAAGGCCATATTTTCCAACTACCAATGCTTCTTTGTTTACAACTTTCACATCCCAACTACTAGTAATTATCAGTGTGTCTTGAATGCTTTTTTGATCAGTTTAAGACTGCAAAAGTTGATAAAAATCTTCAATTTCTTCATCTTTGGCTTTAGTGGTTGGTGTGTAATTTTGAATAGTAGGAGTATTAACTGGTCTTCCTTTTAGGCATATGGATATTATTCTATCATTGGCAGCATTGTACTTTAGAATGTTGTTGTTGTTGTTGTTATGTGCCGTCGAGTCAGCCCTGGCTCATAGCGACCCCTCCTTGGGTTTCTGAGGCAGTATCACTACGGAAGTAGGATTGCCCAACCTTCCTTCTGAGGAGTGGCTGGTGGGTTTGAACCGCCAGCCTTCTGGTTAGCAGTCAAGTGCCTTAGCCACTATGCTACCAGAGCTCCCGTACTTTAGAATAGATATTGCAATGTTCTTTTTGACAATGAATGGGACACCATTCTTCTTCAATTTATCATACTTGGTATAGTAGACCATGTGATTATCTGATTCAAAATGGCCAATACCAGTCCATTTCAGCTCTTCACTAATAAGATCTACAATTGCTCAATTAGGCAATCCAACAAAAAATTAATATGAAAAAAATAGAACTTCAGGAAATAATCCATCAATTGGTGAAGGAATAAACAAATCATGATATATGCATAAAATGGCATGTATCAGGACTTCATTTCTCTTTATGGCAAATTTTCCATTATATGTATATATCACATTTTGTTTATCCATTCACTGGTTGATGGACATTTGGATTGATCTACCTTTTAGCTATTGTGAAAAGAGCTACAGTTAACATAGGTTTATGGGTTTCTGTTTGTGTTCCTGCTTTCACATCTTCTGGGTAATATACCTAGGATTAGAATTGCTAGGTTGTATGGTAGTGCCTAGGAGCTCTGGTAGCATAGTGCTTAAGGCACTTGACTGCTAACCAGAAGGCTGACGGTTCAAACCCACCAGCCACTCCTGGGAAGGAAGGTTGGGCAACCTACTTCCATAGTGATAGTGCCTTGGCAACCCAAGGAGGGGTCACTATGAGTTGGGGCTGACTCGACAGCACATAACAACAACAACATGATAGTGTCTAAGGCATTTGACTGCTAACCAGAAGGCTAGTGGTTCAAACCCACCAACCACTCCCCAGAAGGAAGGTTGGGCAATCTACTTCTGTAGTGATACTGCCTCAGAAACCCACAGAGGGATCACTATGAGTTGGATCTGACTCCATGGCAATGGTTGTGTTGTGGGTTTTTTTTGGTAGTTCTGTGTTTAACTTTTTGAACAGCTGCTAACTGTTCCACAGTGACTATTTTTTTCATTCCCCCTAACAATGGATGAGGGGGTTCTCATTTCTCCACAACCTCAATAACACCTATCAGTTTCTTCTTCTTCTCCCCCCACAAAAAAAAAAAAAAATTGTTATTCTAATGGATGTGAGATTGTATCTATTTCATTGTGGTTTTGATCTGTATCTCCCTAATGTCTAATGACAGGAGCTCTGGGGGCACAGTGGATAAGGCATATGGCTGCTAACCAGAAGGTCAGTGGTTTAAAGCCACCTGCTGCTTTATTGAGTCAGAATCAACCTGATGGCAGTGAGTTTGGAGTTTTTTGGTAATGGCTAATGATGTTGGAGTTTTTTTAGTAAAGTTATTTTAAGTTGTTAGGTACTGTCAGGTCAGTTCAACTCATAGCCACCCTGTTTACAATAGAATGAAACATTGCCTGGTCCTGCGCCATCCTCACAAGGGCTTGAGCTCACTGTTGCAGCCATTGTGTCAGTCCATCTTGTTGAGGGATGCAGGCCCTCTACTTTATCAAGAAGAACACTTCTTCAGGCACTGGTCCCTCCTCATACCATGACCAAAATAAGAGATGAAATCTGGCCATTCATGCTTCTAAAGAGCATTCTGGCTATGCTTCTTTCAAAACACATTTGTTCATTCTTCTGGTAGTCTACAAAAAACTCATTGCTGTCCAGTCAGATCTGACTTGGGTTTCCAAGGTGGTATCACTATGGAAGTAGATCTCCCAATTTTCTTTGCCAATAGCTTGATTCAAATACATGGATTCTTCTTTGGTCTTCCTTATTCATTGTCCACCTCTCACATGCATATGAGGTTACTGAAATGAGCCTTCAAAGTTACATCTTTGTTCTTTAACATGTTAAAAAGGTCTTTAACAGCAAACTTGCCCAATGCCAACATGTCAGTTGATTTCTTGACCCCTGCTTCTATGGGCATTGATTGTAGATCCAAGTAAAATGAAATCCTTGACAACTTCAATCTTTTATCCATATATCACAATGTTGCTTATTAGCCCTGCTGTGAAGACTTTTGTTTTCTTTCTGTTGAGGTATAGTCCATACTGAGGCGTGTAGTCTTTGTTCTTCATTAGTAAGTGCTTCAAGTCCTCTTCACTTTCAATAAGCAAGGTTGTGTCATCTGTGTATTGCAGGTTGTCAGTGAGTCTTCCTCCAATCCTAACACCACATTCTTCTTCATATAGTCCAGCTTCTCAGATTACTGGCTCAGCATA